TGCTTTTGAAATGTTAATTAATGATAAATTCTCACTAAAAAAATATTGTGTCTTGTATATTTTTTACATATAATATGAAATGACGAAACCACAAGTAGAATTTATAATTGTGGCAGCTTCCAACACTCGTCGGAGTAAAAACGGAAAAAGCGCGGCATGATGCTGTAAATTATTTAAAAATAGAGTGCAATTACAAAATTGCGTATATCCCAGTCATTTTTACTTTTAATTTTTGGAGTTATTTTCTGCAATTCGTATTATGATTTACAACCGCAAAAAATCTTCAATTTCTCGCTAGAGTTTAATTTCAATAAACACATTTGATCTAATTTATCCTAACAATAAGATAACAAGATAATTTGCGTATATACAAGATATTACTTTTTGCATAACACACCGATTTTATTGCCACTTAAATATGTTGTAGGGGAGATTCTTCTGAGTAATTCCCGGCAAGAAATTTGTGGGGGACGGCACTAGTTTAGGAGATATAACAAATTACAGTTTCATAGTTTTAATGCTTTTTCTATTATAAAATAAGGAAAAATGAAGTTTGTTTACGTTGTATTTGTGTAGAGCAGAAGTAGTGGAAAAAGTGTTTGTTTACATTTACGGGATAGGTATACACACATGGACACTTTGTCAATAATGTGTTTTACCTATTTTTCGCAGTTCGTTAAAAGCTTTCAACATACGACTATACGAATTTCTAAGTCTTGTTGAAGATAGGAATAAGTTAATAGTACATTTTAGTTTTAAATCAGAAATAGGTTTGAGTTAGGTTATAACTTCCGGAAGTGGAGCCGCCCTGTAAGGGTGGCGGAACTCACTGTGTCCACGCATATATTTTACACTTATTTCTTGCGGGAAATTACTCAGAAAAACCTCCCCAACAACATATTTAAGTGGCGATTAAATCAGAGGTGTGTTACTTTTTATGCAGTTTTACCGTGAAAATTTTGAATGTCTTGATAACAAACAAAGAATGTACAATTTTTTTAATTGCTTATAAAAGAAAATTAATTGATTAAATTACAAATAAAATAAAATAATTAACGATTCAATACCGGAGAAACGGAGAATTCTGTAATTTTTATTATCGATAAGTTCAAAAGTTGAATCGGAAAATACATTCAATGACTACTAATTTTAATGTTCTCACTCAATTCACAATATATATTCTATTTTTATTTTTTGATCACTTATATTTTCGCAATTATAAATGTAATTTGTAGTAAAGATTTGTGTTAAAATAGCAAGAGTTATTTAAGTTATTTTATCATACTTTAATTACAAGGAAAGCACGCGAGAGCAAGAAGAAAGTGAATAGTCGTATTTTACTATTATCGTTGCAGAGAAGTTTATACGACGGTTGTAGAAGCATGAGAAAATGCGCTGTAATTCTGATTATGCGTAATCTGTCACAGCCGTTTAAGCAAGAATGATCAGACGACTTTAGAGTACAATGCAAAACTTGCATAAAAGTACGCCATTAACAATAAAGGAACAAAATAATTTTTTTTTATCAAAATTACAATTTTTATTATTAAAAGTTTTAATATTACAATATTGATAAATTATTATTAACGATCTACATAATAACGATGAATGTTATGTTAAGTAAATGAAAGATTAAGAAATTTTTCAGACGATTTGGTAACGTCTTTTAAATATTTATGTTGCTTTTGAAATGTTAATTAATGATAAATTCTCACTAAAAAAATATTGTGTCTTGTATATTTTTTACATATAATATGAAATGACGAAACCACAAGTAGAATTTATAATTGTGGCAGCTTCCAACACTCGTCGGAGTAAAAACGGAAAAAGCGCGGCATGATGCTGTAAATTATTTAAAAATAGAGTGCAATTACAAAATTGCGTATATCCCAGTCATTTTTACTTTTAATTTTTGGAGTTATTTTCTGCAATTCGTATTATGATTTACAACCGCAAAAAATCTTCAATTTCTCGCTAGAGTTTAATTTCAATAAACACATTTGATCTAATTTATCCTAACAATAAGATAACAAGATAATTTGCGTATATACAAGATATTACTTTTTGCATAACACACCGATTTTATTGCCACTTAAATATGTTGTAGGGGAGATTCTTCTGAGTAATTCCCGGCAAGAAATTTGTGGGGGACGGCACTAGTTTAGGAGATATAACAAATTACAGTTTCATAGTTTTAATGCTTTTTCTATTATAAAATAAAGAAAAATGAAGTTTGTTTACGTTGTATTTGTGTAGAGCAGAAGTAGTGGAAAAAGTGTTTGTTTACATTTACGGGATAGGTATACACACATGGACACTTTGTCAATAATGTGTTTTACCTATTTTTCGCAGTTCGTTAAAAGCTTTCAACATACGACTATACGAATTTCTAAGTCTTGTTGAAGATAGGAATAAGTTAATAGTACATTTTAGTTTTAAATCAGAAATAGGTTTGGGTTAGGTTATAACTTCCGAAAGTGGAGCCGCCCTGTAAGGGTGGCGGAACTCACTGTGTCCACGCATATATTTTACACTTATTTCTTGCGGGAAATTACTCAGAAAAACCTCCCCAACAACATATTTAAGTGGCGATTAAATCAGAGGTGTGTTACTTTTTATGCAGTTTTACCGTGAAAATTTTGAATTTCTTGATAACAAACAAAGAATGTACAATTTTTTTAATTGCTTATAAAAGAAAATTAATTGATTAAATTACAAATAAAATAAAATAATTAACGATTCAATACCGGAGAAACGGAGAATTCTGTAATTTTTATTATCGATAAGTTCAAAAGTTGAATCGGAAAATACATTCAATGACTACTAATTTTAATGTTCTCACTCAATTCACAATATATATTCTATTTTTATTTTTTGATCGCTTATATTTTCGCAATTATAAATGTAATTTGTAGTAAAGATTTGTGTTAAAATAGCAAGAGTTATTTAAGTTATTTTATCATACTTTAATTACAAGGAAAGCACGCGAGAGCAAGAAGAAAGTGAATAGTCGTATTTTACTATTATCGTTGCAGAGAAGTTTATACGACGGTTGTAGAAGCATGAGAAAATGCGCTGTAATTCTGATTATGCGTAATCTGTCACAGCCGTTTAAGCAAGAATGATCAGACGACTTTAGAGTACAATGCAAAACTTGCATAAAAGTACGCCATTAACAATAAAGGAACAAAATAATTTTTTGATTTTTCTCACATATCTATGCACAAATCTTTGTCTATTTCATAAATATAATAATAAAATTGCAAGTTTTAATCTTAGAATATCGTATGTATATTAAAAAAGTTTGTATATATAATAAATGTTTTATAACATTTTGGTAGATTCCTGGGGAACATATCTTCTTATTCTTTCTACAGATTAAGATGCAGATAATTCATCGATGTGTTTCATATATTGTGCCACCCTTGTATACCTCTGCATATGTATAAGTAAACACCTTACCTATGTCAATATACACCCTCCGGGGTATAATCTTATCCTACCAACTAGTTAAATTAAACTACGAGATCTGCCCTTCAACCTAGGATGGTTACCAATCGCAGCGCATATCGATCTACATATCAATATTCATAAAGCGTAGCCGAGATTTTGATAGATCGTAAAATTAAATTTGAAATACTGTATATTTCAACTATATTTTAAACAGATATGTGAAAAATAATATTAATAACAGTAAATTATCATTGTAACACAATTAATATATTAAGGTTAAAAAATAGAGAAGATAATATAAACGTTGTAGAGACGATGTTTACAACTGACCTGCCATGGAATTTTACTACTAAGTATTTCTTCCTGAATAAAACGTGCGCCACGAATCTCGCGAAGAAAGAAAAAAATGCGAGCATCCCCCGCGTCCCCAAGAAGCTCTTTTCCACAAGGACGGTCCTCTCGGCGAGTTGCCTCGGCGAGCAATCTCACGAAATTGCGCCGCGCGATTTCACGTCGTTCTGTCGACGTTAACGTTCGCATTCTCAACGTTTTTTTTTTTTCGAAAGTCCTTCGGCTTTCATTTGACTGACGGAAGGGAATGAGATGGAAGGGTAAAAAAGTACGTAGCGAACAAAAAAATCCAAAAGAAGAGGGAAAAAAGAGAGTGATAAAAATAAATCTCTTATTCCACACAATCAATATATTACCTACTATATTATCAAAAATAATATAATAGTAATTAGTAACAATTAGCTAATCACATCGATTTATGGGTATATTATAGATTCATTCACGCGATCTACATTTTTAATCTACAAAAAATAGAAAAATATTTTCCCCAAGAAATTATCACAATTAAAATTTTATAAACTGAATATTTGCAAAATGATAAACTTTGTTTAATTCAAGGAATGCAAATATAGTAACTGCTGTTATTTTAATTTTCTAAGAATAACGATCGGCGGAAACGTATATTATTGTAATATCCAAAATGCGTATATCACTAAACACACATTACTGTAAATGAAATATTTGCGAGCAGATAGATACAACGCACTCTATGTTTTTCCTACTTCCGTCGGTCTCGTAAAAAAATAGGCCCAATGGGAATCAAACTTGAGCACAAGCTTTCACGTATAGCGAGTTACATCGCCAAGTATGTCATTTATAGTCACTCATTTGTATGCATGTCCAGCGTACTCCAGTTGACCGTAACTCACATGCTCCGATTTCGTAGAAGTTTACTATAGAAAGTTCTATGATCTATATTTAAAATCAATTACTAGTTTACGGTTTCTTTCTCCAAACATATCTTTTGTGAAAATTGTTTATGGTAGCATAGAGTATTAATTATAATAATAATTAA